ATTCTCTAAACTTAAAGCGAAGTTCACAGAACATCTAACGAAAAGTTTACAGAACGCATAATTGCTGAACCAATGTTCACATAACTTCCGACGAACAGGATTGAAAATTCTCTGGGGAGAATCACCCGGGTGCGAGAGATATCATTCTCTGCGGTGAATCCCTGCTTATCTCCTCGGAGATTTTTCGTGGCACCACTGGAGAGATTGTTAGACACAGCACGAGAGAGTGAGAGAGTTAACAGTTCACTGTTTGTCTGATTATACACTCACTTCCGTGAGAAAGATGGCAGCGCACATGCGATATTGTTTCTCCAAAGATTCCGGCAGAGCTTGACGTGAGTGGACAAAGTGCAAACTGTTCTTCACGAAGAAAAAAGTGCGGTTTGACGACAGTACCGGTGGTTGTGCATTTTGTGCTTTGCAGGGCAAATGGAAAATCATTCAAAGTAGACACGGACACTTTGACAGCCGAAGACCACATGCTCCGGCGTTTCATCCACGTTGCCACACTCCGAACAGAGGGGTGACGCTGCGTGTCCGAACCGATGCAGGTATTTCCTGAAGCAGCCGTGGCCAGACAGGAACTGTGTTAGGTGAAAGTTAACGTCTCCATGTTTTCTGTTCGCCCAGATCGAAAGAATCTGTATTAGTCTACGTGTTCATCTACCGTTCTCGGCCGTGTTCCACTCCTGTTGCCACTTAGCCAACGACTCCGCTCTCACAGATTTCCGTACTCTTCCGGTTTCTCTCCACCTGTAGCACTCGCTGTTCTCCGCCAGAGTTATGCCGCTGCTTCCGACGAGATGGTTTTGTTCGCACTTACGACTTACATTACCATGAGCCGGAACGTACTACTCGGTTTCCTATGGTTCTGCTTCATTTCCAGCGCTGCAACCCAGGCTGGACCTCCATACCTCAGTATCAACGTTAATATAAAAAAGTAACCTTTAAAAAATCTTTGTATGCAACAAACTAACAACCAAAGTCTTCACCGGGGTGATTCTCCCCGGTGAAGCAAACGAACTCTCTACGGTGCTCCCTAGTGATCACTCATCCGCTCCGGTGTGTTGGACTGTTGGAGGTGCGAACGTCAGAAACTGTATTTGTTTGCGAAGTGGGAGAAGCGGTAGAAAGTGAAAACAAAATAAAGATCTCTCGGGCGAGTTTGCTTTGAGCATAGTGCGAGGTGTCTTTTCATCTCATCACCCTGCTTACAATGGGGAGAATGGCATCCCTGCCGACGAAAAGTTTACAGAGCTTCGCTGAAGTTCAGAGTACTTAAAAAAATCCCTAAGGTTCACAGAGCTTTATCAAAATTTGCTGAAGTTCGACGAAAAGTTTAGAGAACTTCCGATGAGAAGTTTAGAGAACTTCCGACGAGATGTTCTGATGGTCAAAAGATGTTCATAGTACGTCCGACAAGAAGTTCAAAGAACTTCCGAGAAGAAGTTCAGATAACTTCCAAGGAGAAGTTCACAAAACTTCAGAGGAGAAGTTCACAGAACTTCCGACAGAAGGAGGTTCAGAGAAATGTTTCGGCCCTTATTACGAGTGTCACTTCACGGTGAAAACAAAGTGCCGTGTAAATGAAATGGAAATCACTTCACCGTGGCCCTTATTACCGATGTCACTTCATGGTGAAATGACAACTTTTCACTCACGGTGAAGTGATTCCCAATTGATTTACATGCAATCACTTCACCGTGAGTGACACTTCATATGTTCGGGACATAACCACCCCTATTCTGTATTTCATTTCGAACGAAATTCTAATACAAAAAAATATTTTTTTGTATGAGAATTTCGTTCGAAACGAAATACAGAATAGGGGTGACTATACGGTGATAAGGAAGTGATTTTCAGAATAAAAGCCGTGATTTCCGTACAAATCAAATGGTAATATCTCCACCGTGGTGCCAGGTGACAACTTTTCACCGTGAAGTGACATCCGTAATAATGCCCCTTCCGGCGAGAAGTTCAAACATCTTCCGAGGAGAAGTTCAAAACTTCCGAAAGGACATCTAGGGAACATCCGCGGTGAAGTTCTGAGAACATCCAAAAAACAATTCAGATAACTTCCGATGAGATGTTCACAAAATTTCCGACGAGAAGTTCAGAGAACTTCTGAAGAGAAACTCACAGACGGATGCCACTTCACGGTGAAAACTTGTCACTTATAGTCATGGTGAAGTGATTCCTATTTGATTTGTACGGCAATCACGGCAATCAATCTTCTACGAGAAAACGAGAGAGATTTCGGTCCTTATTACGAGTATCACTTCACGGTGAAGTGATTGCCGTGTAAATCAAATAGGAATCACTTCACCGAGAGTGATCAGTTGTCTCTTCTCCGTGAAGTGATATCGGTAATAAGGGCGTCCGACGCGAAATTCTAAAATGCTAAACGGCGAACGGAAATGCTAAAGGGCGAACACGAAATTATTGCGACACATTCAACAGGGCATAACTTTTTTTACCATTGGGGAAAAATCAACCAAATTTTGCACACTTTCTCATTGATGTGTATTGTGTACATGCTGTCAAACTCGAAGTCGTGTTTTTCGATTCAACGAAAATGGAGGTGAACCAACGCGAGTTGAGAGAACAAATTCTTTCCAAACACGTGGCAGTTAGGAAAAATGTTGAACATTCACCATTCAACCGTCTCCAGAGTGTTGAAGCGGTTCCAGGAGCGGTTGACGTTGGACCACGGCAAAGGATCTGGAAGAAAACCGGGACCGGAGAACAAAAAGACGGAGGGAAAGGTGAAGCGGATGATTAAAGCAAATCCCAACGTCTCAAGTCGTGATTTGGCTAAAAAGATCGGCATGTCGCAGAGCTACGTCCAGAATGCAAAGAAGAGAGCTGGACTACATACATACAAGGTACAGAACTTCCCAAACCGCGATGAGCGGCAACAATCGACTCTACGAGAAGATGCTGACAAAATATGGCTGCTGTGTGATGGACGACGAAACGTATATAAAAGCCGATTTTAAGCAAATTCCGGGGTGGGAGTTTTTCACCGGCAAGAGCAAGTTCGACGTGGACGACAAAGTTAAGAAGAAGAAAATGTCGAAGTTCGCCTCCAAATATCTCATTTGGCAGGCCATCTGCTCTTGCGGACTGAGGAGTGAGCCTTTCGTGACAAAGGGCACAGTAAATGGCGAGATCTACAAATCTGAGTGCCTCGAGAAGCGCCTTTTGTCGTTCTTGCAGCAGCACGACGGAGCTCCGCTATTTTGGCCAGATTTGGCATCATGCCACTATTCTAAAAGTGTCCTGGAGTGGTATGAGGCCAATTCTGTCCATTTTGTTCCAAAGGACATGAATCCGCCAAACTGTTCGGAGCTGCGCCCGGTGGAGCAGTACTGGGCAATAATGAAGCGGGAACTTTGGAAGAGCAAGAAGACAGTCAAAGACGAGAAGGACATGTTAAGAAAATGAAAAAAAAACTGAGAAACTGGTACCGGGAGGGCATCAAGCGAAAATGCGTTCAATTTTACACTTAAGGCTCCATCGATTAACTTTTCTTTTGATTTTTGAACTAAATATATGTATAAAACTACCCTAAAATTTTGGTTTGATTCTAAACATTATAAGAAAATTGGCATGACATTTATTTTTAATAAATTTTATAAAAAATCACGCAATAATTTCGTGTTCGCCATTTAGGTATCTAACATGAAGCTTTAGTGTGATAACTTATAAACAAGAGAATGGTTTTTAGAAGAGGGTAGGTAGATAGGTAGGTAGATACTGACAATGGCCCTTATTACCGATGTCACTTCCTTCACAGTACATCTGGCAAAAAGTTCATCGTGAAGCGCAGCATTATCAAAAGTTGGAACATGAAATAGAGGAAATAGGATGTTTCGGAAAGGTCTGCTGTGGGATTTTATATTATTGCCGACACTTTCTATCACTTACTGCTTTTTCACGAATAAGATACGTATAACTTTTGCAAATTTATTTGCTGTAGAAGGTCGGTTTGTCCAGGAAAATGCTGAAAAATAATGCACTCGCGGAAGGACGTAATAAACTTTCTGGTAGCTGTAGTCGGAACAGCTGTCGGATTCCGCAAACATGAACAGAAAAATTACATTTGATGTTCATGCATATGTGCGTGTGAGAGCGATAAGAGCAGATTTTGTTTTGGCTGCATTCCTTTTGAAAATCCGAGATTTTCTCCAATACACCGCAATCGGTCTAGACTAGACTACACCGCAATCGGTGTATTCAAGTTATATCCAAGATTAAAATGGAGGATGATACGGCATGGTGCTTACCTAAGTAACAATTTTGGTTTTATGAGGGTTCTGTAGACCATGATTTAGACTAGTATAATTCTATAAAACCGCGATAAAACCTGCAATGTTACTTGGGTAGGATAATTCGAGATTGACGTATTATCCTCGATGGAGCTTACGCTATTAGACATTATCGCGGACTTCGATATTTTTACCGAAATCTCAACAGCTGAACTGTTCGGTAACATTTAGTCAGTTTGAGAAAAATAGGCTAAAAAATTAAGGTCAAAGTTTTATCTAACGAGATTTCGGTAAAAAACACCGATGGCGAAAAATATGTCTGAGTGCGTACCATTTTAGATTGCACATAATTTACGATGACATTGAACACAAGATACAATGCAAAAATCATTTAGCAAAGTTTAAATAATTGAGGAACTGGAAGTAATGGAAATTGATTATTACAATCATTGACCGAAACATGAAACATGAAAACTAGATTTTTTTTAAAACAGAAAATCGAATGTAAAGGAACAATGTATACTGATGCAATCACTCCCCCTTATTATGCGCCGCGAGTGAGATGAGGTGACTCGCTGTCACTAGTGAGGTGACAAAAGTCACCGCGAGTGAGGTAACTCTCTGTGGAAATCAAATGGAGAATTACCTCACTCGCGGTGACTATTGTCACCTCACAAGTGACAGCGAGTCACCTCACCTCACTCGCGGCGCAGAATAAGGGGGACTGACTCGAGTATGCCTTGCAGCATTTCGCAGTGCGCATTTGCTTTCAACGCGGCGTTTGCATGCTGCAATTAACGGCTGTGCCTCACGAGGGGTTGTGTCTTCATCGAAATCCAGTAATCAGGAAGATTAAATGTGGAGAATTCCATTCCGTTTTCCCTCATCACTCACATCGTCAGGGCGTACGACCACAGGATTGTTAAAACATCTTTAATCAACCCAAACAAACAAACTAAAAACATTTAAATCTCGGAAGAGTTGGGAAGTAAAGAAGGTCTTTTCTTGTCTTTCACAAATTCTGGATTAATGTTTGAATAGGTCCTATGTCCATTTGTCGATCAAACAATCGATTACCTTACTTGTTTGTACCGCGGTACTACTTTGTACCGCAACCGTTGCGGTATTTTCGCATTAATGATACGTACAATCTTTAATTTAATCTTTGAACTTTTGACTATTGTATCAATATTGAAAAACCATTAAAAAAAGCGAATTAAATTAATCGATTTTTTCAACAAATGGACATAGAACCTATTCAAAAAAGACTCCCAGAACTGTTGATTTCCATTAGGAGTTGTCCATATACACCGTGGACAGTTTAAGGGCGATGGTAGCGGCGAGTGTCCATGGTCCATACAAATAAAAGAAAAGTATGGATGATTGTCCTCGCAAGAGGATGCGTACCCGAGCAAAGTCAGATATCAAAATAAAAGCAAATCGAAATTAAAGTCTGAATATCATATTGTGCTTTAGTTTTTCCCTTGATTCAAAAGTGTAAAATTTTGCTCTCATTTTTGCTGTGTTAACCGTTAAGTCAACAAAAATGAGATCAACTGGAGTATTCAAAATATGTTACATTATAACAGCAAATTTTGATTTCAATTTGATCCCAGCTTTGCTCGGGTAGGGGGTCTAAAATTACTCATAAACTGCCCACGTGGTTTATGTATAACCTTTTATTGAGTTTTGATTTTCAACACAACATTTGATACTGTTCTTGCTTGTAGAAATGGATAAGCTCTTTTCAGACGCTAGTCCTAGAATTCCGTCAATTTGAATTTGCTGTCAATGATAAAATTTGTCATAGGGGAAATGGATATAATGTCGGCCTTAAATCCTCTAGTTTGGGCTCATACATAAATTCAGCAATCGACTAAATTTTTAATAGAGGCCAAAAATATCTATTAGTACCGTACCAAAGACGCGTTCATCTAGATAAAATTGATAAATAGCAGATTTTTAGCGATGGGCCCAATTTTGGATCCATTGGTCAACATTAGAACCATTTCCCCTACCATTTTTGTGTTCTTTTCAATGACCGTCCAAATACTTAAGCCCGATAAAAATGATTTTATTTTCATGCCTATTCTGCGCGGCGTTTGAGGTGAGGTGACTCTCCGTGTAAATCTAATGACAGTAGGTCGCCTCACTTCACACGCCAAGCAGAGTAGACCTGTTTTGCTAAGTTAAGTTACTTGATAGAAGCCTCTCCTTCGGAAATTCGATACAATTTCGTCTTTTGCCAAGGATACAGATGAATAAGCTGCAATATTTTCCGTGTACACCAAATCCTTTAAATATAATCCCAACCCCACTCTCATCTCCACAATCAGTACCAATTTATCTAAACCTAGCCTAATGAGATTCTCCAATGGTTACCTCTACCGTTACAGAGTACTGCGGTGACAGCTGTTACACATTCGAATTGCCAATCTACTTCAACATGTTAGCTTCTGGTGCGTATCGAGTTACGTTTGTTGTTTAGATCTTACTAGTATATGTTTTTACCCGTCAACGAGTTCCATGTATTATTTCTTCCACTACTTTCCAATAACTATTACTATATTCTAATGGTAGATCGCAGCGTTTACGCTTTTCAATTTCAAATAATCCCGCGACGTTCAACGTCCGGCTTTGCCCCATTTGCATTCTAATATAATTGGAGTTGACAAAAATCATATGCAACCAATAACTACCCAACATTTCAGATACAAATAATTCTAGTTAGGCCAACGACTTCCATAACAGACAAATCAAATGGAATTCCTTTTTGTACAAATACTGGAGATAGCGATCGCTTCACCGATTAACGAACCGTAACTTAAACAATGTACACGGTTTCGCCCCCGTTGGTTATTAATCCTCAGTCGAATGAAATAGAGTAGCTTTTCCCAAAGAAAAAAAAAATACGCTACATTGTGTTCAACAACCTTCCAAGCATTTGTAAACTTGGTTTGATGCTCATCCTCACTCCACAACCTTTCTTCTCCTTAATCCAATGAAAAAAAAATCTCTAGTAAAAAACATCTCACTCTGCAAAGTGAACGTGAGTATTGTTAACATTATTCTCGTGTGCGTTGGAGGAGGAAGAAACTGACTTTGTGATAGGACCACCACCGCCACCACTAGCACAGAGATTACCACTCGAGATCGACGTTGTCGGGAGGGTTCCGACCGACGAACAACTGGTCGTACTGGTACTGCTATTTAGATGGGCCAGAAATGATTCCGAGATACAGGCATGAGATTCGGCTTCCTTTTCGAACATCGATTTGGCCTATGTTGGGAGAAAACAGCACTTTTGTTAATAATATTTCAAAGCTTGTAGGGCAACTGTTGGCCATACTTTCGCTCGGTGATCTTCGAGTCCTTGCTTCACGGCCTCGTGCTGCCGCTGAAGTTCATCACGCTTTCGTTCGTACGTTTTCGTCAGTCGGACTCGTTCAGCTACACCCTTTTCCACCAGCGTTGAATCCACTTCCCGTTTCATTCTGCATTGAAATTGGAATAAAATTATCCGTATGATGTGCCACTAGCAACCAAGCGTCTCCATCGGCTAAAATGGTGCTGGTGAGGACGCATGGTACCTTTCTACCGAAAATACTAACCTCTCCAATTCGTCCTTGTCTTTGTGCACCTGTGCCAGCAGTTTGACCTCATTCTTCCTGGATAACTGCAGCTGTCGCATCACCTCACTGGTTTCACGTTCGTGTTGTGTCTGAGAGGAGAATGATTCATAGTGAATTTCTAATAATAAAAAAAAAACATCAAACCCCACCTTCAGCTGCTTGATCTGACTTTCCTGTGATTGTCGTAGTAAATCATCCGCCAGGTTGTATATTACTTCGTGGTACTTTTCCAGAACGTCCCGATAGCTACTGGCATGGTCCCGGCAAATCTGTTTCAATCTCTCCGCTTGAGCACTGTTATCACACGAGTCCGCATCCGACGCGCAGGGTGGTATCCGAATGCTCATATCAGCCATATTTTTACTACTAAACCGTTTGACCAGCTTGTTACCCATACCGAACTTGCTCTTCTTGATCCCATCACTAAGATCTCCACTCTTCTGCGTTGTTACCTTAATCTTCTCCTTGTCGTGGTTTTTCTTCAGCGTCTTCAGTTCCTTCTCCAGAGCATCCCGTTTCTTCCGCACCTGCTTGTCCTCAAAGATTTTCTCCAATGGTTCGGCCACAATTTTACGAGCATCCGTTTGGTCTGCAGCATGGAATGACAGTTGTTGCTTCTCCAGCTGCAGTGGATGATGCTGCTGTTGAATGGTTGCTTGCTTTACCAGCAGCGGACTAGTTTGATCCATCGATGACTGTGCGACCGGTAAAGTCACTACCTTTGAGATCATTTCCAGAGGCATTTCCCGTTCGTGGTCACTGTCGGTAGATGCGGCCGCTGACGCCGCCAGGGCGGACGCTGTCTGCACACTGGGCCTGTGTAGCGGACTTCCACTCGTATTTTCACTAGCCTTCAACGTATCCTTTCTCGAACCTAGAGATACAATTACAACTGCAATTTGATGCATATGGGCAGAAAACGGAAAAAAAGAAGACACCAACAAAACATAAACATCGAGCAACTCAAAAACCAATGCAAAGCAAAATTACACTAAACACTACCATAACCTCTGCGGAAACATTATCTTACATGCATCTTCTTCCTCCTCGGGTTCCATATCCTCTTGCAGCACTGCCAACTGTTCCGAACGCTTTTCCAGCTCGCTTTGATACTTGATTGGATTGGCCAGGGCCTCCGCCAACTCGGACAACCCATCCGGAACGTAGTCCTTGACGACAATCGACAGAAACAGTGTGGCCAGCGTAATCGGTTGACCGACTTCCGTCCTCAGCGTTACATGCCTATACCCGGGACACATTCCAATCACAGGCAGCACTCGGTGACCGATCAGTTTTCCGCCTTCCTCGTACGCCGCTATTCTTATGCTGCCCAATTCCGGTAGTACGATTTTCTTAAACACAAACGGATCCTCGCCGTAGATCGGGTTTATCCCATTGTCCCGCACTATTCTGGTTCGAAATTTTTTCCGCACCGTATCTGCCGGCAGGCCAAACATGTCCACCTCAACGTAGGTGCCGACTTTCTTATCCGTTAGAAATTGACCCGACAGTACCGTCACGATCACCGTACCAGCGATGATACCGTCGACCTGGAAGTGTACAAAGTACGCAGTTAGCTTTGAAATCTCTTCTTGTTCAAAAGAAAAAGAAAAAAAACCTACAGTACTCTCGGCAAACGGGTCCAGCCGGCGGTCTTTCCGGCGCATAAACTCCGGCTTCAAAACGTATCCACACCGATGGTTGTATTCGAACAGTCCGAGATTCAGCTGCATGGCGAGATCGAGGGTTTGGTAGTTGAGGGCCACTAGTTGGCAACCGGCGTTCCAAAATAGCTGCAACGGAATACAATGCGGGGGAAGGGTGATTGAAAAATCTATTGGATAGAGTATGAAATCAAAAAATCACTTTTCAGTTATAAGTGCGTGACAGACCATGATTTACATATCTTTTTTTTTTATTTTAGTCGATGTAGTATTCTAAAAAATATTCTAAAATAATTTTAACTTCCTCTCACTCTGTCCTAAGACTTTGGATCTAAAAGTTGTTCTGCATTTTGGAACCTGGAAAATTTTCATTCCTAAACTTACAACATGGTTCGAAATTCCGAAAATGTATTGCATCTATAAATTATTGATATATTTAACTCCCTGCTTTTCCTGTGGTGGCACCCAAAAAATGTAACGAAAAAATTTATAGTTTTCAAGCATGACATAAACTGAATAACTTCATCCTACAACAAAGTAGGGGAACTGAGTGTTATACGCGCCAGCGGGGTAATAAGGCCATTTAAATTTTTCAAGTACTTTTAAAACAGCGATTGCCAACTTCAGGCATAACATTTGATAACGGCACAAAAGCATTTGTAAACAAACTTTTTAAGGCCCTTTACACGCGAACCAAAGTACGCCCACGCAAACCAATACCACTTTCGGATAGGTGACAGTTGTCCCTATCCGATGATGTTGTTGGTTTGCTTGGGCGTACTTTGGTTCGCGTGTAAAGGGCCTTAAAAAGTTTGTTTACAAATGCTTTTGTGCCGTTATCAAATGTTATGCCTGTTATTAAATTTTGGTTTTAAAGTCCATACAAAATTGCGGTTGATCATATTACACCGCTGGTGAGTTTCACACCACTTCCCCCTAGCAATTTAAACATCATTATTTCCAATAATACCATCGTGTTCTTGCGGGTCGGTTTACATTCAATTATACATACTTTCCATGTTTTTGTTTGCTCACCTGTGGCATGAAATTAGAGCTGTCGAAACGCGTCCCCGCCGGGTAGACACGTGACAACTGACGTTTGTTGTAGTTGACAAACTCAATGGGTCGCTCCTTCAGCAGTGTGGTTGCCTGTTTCTCATCAAATGAAGACATCTCGTAATAACGTGCCTTCTCTGTGCGTACGGGTTAATGATGGTCGGCAAGAAATGCGTGAAGAAGAACCACAACGGAAGGAAAATTATTAGAGCATAAACATTAATTACATCAGTAGTGCTTTTTCTGGCGCCCGGTTTTCTCCGGTCGGATGGCTAGACTCATAAAGCAGCAGAGTAGAGCATCCGGTCCCGTACAGTCCCCGGGTGCCTATGATGATGGCATTAAAGCTGATACTTACTTTCGGAATTTTCAAAACTACTAAAATGTACAGGTTGAACATAGTTGACGAGGGCGGAAATTTCCGCACCCGCTTCAGTCTCTTTGGTTTGCGGTACCTTGTCCGCCTCGGTGGATCCTATTGGTCCGGCTTGCGCTCCCGGCATCGACTCGTCGTCGCTCGAGCTATCCGTGTCCGATGAACCGGTGCTTTCCTTTGAACTCTGACGAATTTGCTGCTCGTCCAGTTCCAGGCAAGGAGATAGTGAAAAAAATAAAAGAAAATGGAATTTATACATTTCAAATCTTGACAAAGACAATGCTGCATGTACATGAATAAAGCAGAAGTGCTCGAAACGGATACGAAACTGGACGTTTTTAATCTGTGTTATGAACTGGGCCAACTTGACTGAAATCTGAGTTGGTTGAGTTCCGGAGTGGAATTTTCCCTGCGAGCAAAGTTAAAGTTTCTCAAGTGTGCCATGCATTTATTTAAACACCATTAGCATTTGCATTGGGGTTGTTTTCCTGTCCACTTTCATACCGATGCACATCGTTATCCCCAACCCGGCTAGTAAAGGTCACCGGTGAAAAGTACCTGTAATGGAGGTGCATGGTGCGGCACGTCGCCATTACCAGTTGCTATTGCTTGTGTGTTGGCGACGTTGGTGGGTAGTGTGGTGGTGCCGATGGTAGTCGAGGCGGTGATAATGAGAGTGCTACTGCTGTTGTTGTTATTGTTGCCGTTGCTACTGAAGTTACTGCTGATGCCGTTGTTGGTGTTGCTTGGAGCGGTGCTACTATCCTCCTGATTTTGTGACTGAGATTGCTGTAAGCTTGCACTGGCTGCATATTCGTAGGCAAAAGAGGGTGGTAGTAGAGAAAGAGAAAAAGAACAATAAGAAGAAACAGTAAAACACACCGCCAAAAGAGAAACAGGAAGATAGTGGAGAAAGTTTATAAGCTTTCCGCTGCTGCTATCATGTAGTGCCGTGGGATATTGCATGGATTAGGAGCACGGTGGGTTTGTTACCTGGTCCAACCCGTGTGGGGCGTAGTGCAAATGGGAAGACCGAAAATGAACAACTCCAGGATACAATCTTGATGATGTGGTTTTCCAGCACCATTGTAAATTTGGATGGCTTGGTGTTTGGTGTTCTATTTTCGTATGATAATTAATTGTGACTTAGGTCTTAGGTAGGACATAAAACGCACATCATAATGAAAGGTTTTTTTTCCACAAGCAGGGATAGTAAACCGACTATATATATCTGATGAATCACAATAATGGAATATGTAATACCATTCCATTTTCGCTCTATAATTAACAACCTATTCCGATACTTCGATGTGGCATGATATAAAGAGAATGTTTTGCCCGCAATGAAGGCCAAATGAAATTAAGAGATTATGTCTTTTTTGTCAAGTCATTGAACTTGGGAACATTTTTAATGTTCCAGGTTCCGAAGTTTTTTTAATAGTAGCCTAGAAATTTAGAACATTTTTATTCCAGGTTCAGTATCTAGGATGTTATTTTCATAGTCTCAGATTTGTGTGTGTGTGTGTGTGTGTGTGTGTGTGTGTGTGTGTGTGTCATCCTCTATCCCTCACCCAGCTGGGGGCGTTGGACAAGTAGAACTGCGAATAATTTGATCAAATCTCATGCTCCGTACTGGTGCCCTTTATGTTGTGAAGACTAGTACTTCAAAAAAGGTAACTTTTGAGGCAAGACAGGGTGTCCTCAACAGTTTTCTTCAGGATGTCGTGTTGAGCGGTTGTTTGTGTTGATTCGTGCAACGAGAGTCAATGTGTAGTGCATAAAGTGTTTTGTAGAAAATGATTTCATTCCGTAATGAGGAAAGTTTTTTTTTATTTAGCGGTGGTTGAGACCTCAGTTTTAACAAAGGAAAACAAAATTGAAATGGTGATTGGAGCACCAAGTGTTGTAATTTTTTTAATGCCCGTTAAACGATAAATTGGTCAGAAGATGACGAAGCAACGAACAGAATGGTGTCCGAGGCAAATAGGTTTGTGGTGTGAGTGATAGTTTTCTGCAAACCAAAGCGACGACCTGTTGAATCTTGCATTCAAAATAGCATCATACCTGAGCTTTTGTTACTGGGATGCCAGAACACCGGAGGATTACAGAAGATAAGTTTTTTGTTAATTCAATTCATTGAAAAAATCATTGAAATATTCTTCAGTCACTGATATTTATTGAAATTATTGTATACCAATCGTCCATTTAAATAACTTATTTTTCATTAAGAATGACTGGTTTGCTAAATTTAGCTATTTTAACCGATTTATTTGTTCCACATGCTAGCAATTTATGATCGATTCGGTTTCAGCTGACAACATTGTCCATCCTTCATTTTGTCTGCTCATCGTAAGCTGCTTCAAGTACATTCTTCTTTAAATGTCGTTAAGCTATCTGCCAACAGATGGCCTAGGGTGAACTCATGCTTTTTCGAAAGAGCGATTCACATACACTGCCGTTGAATAATACTCAGTGACGCGGGTTGTAGGGTGTACGGCAAGTTAATTTGGCTCATGTTTGCATCCCGTTCACTGGGTTCGCGGAGGTGTGGATAGGGTGGATCTCTGCTCGGGTATTAATGGGAAATATTTACTCATATTTGATTGGAGATTTACTCATTCTGTGGATGACCTGCGCTTTTGCGAGTTTGCATGGGCTCGGATATGAGTCGGCTTCATTTGCCGTGTATGTTGTTGTCTATTTTTATTTTTGGTGGGTTTTTCTTATACACGGTAAGAAAAAAGTATCCAACGGAAAGTTCACTTTTACCTACTTTTGACCAAGGTTGCAAAGACTCATTTCAGCTAAAATAGTGTTTTTCGGAATAATAAAACCAAAAGATGGTATGATGGGTTGTTTTACTTGTAACTTACAAGAATAGGTTACAAAGTATGCGTTGGAAACATAAAACCTGTAAATTTTGCTTTCTATGAGTCACAATCAGCGATTTGCTGATCGCTGAGTGAGTGATTGAGTGAGTGAGTGAGTTTGTGAAAAATCGCTGATTGTGACTCTCATGAAGTGAAATAAACAGGTTTAATATGTCAAACACATTCTTTGCAATCTCTTCTTGTATCCTACCAATTCAAAATTTGATCATGGCATCTAATTATTTCATAATTTAGCAAAACATTGTTTTAGCTGAGATGAGTCTTTGCAACCTTGCTTTTGACTAGTTTGTCTCCTTTTCTTCTTCTAATGTTGTCAAAAACGGAGGAGTAAAACCACCCAACAGGGGTAGTAAAGTGTGGGAACCCAACGTTGAGTATAACCATATTTACCTACTGTTTGGTACAACTAACTTACTTTTGGTTAAAAAGCCAGTGGAAAATTCCATACGAACTGCACACAAGTAAATGAAAATTACTTTGACCAGCTTTACCTACTTTTGGGTTCCTGCACTATAGTGCCGAGATGAGTGAAAAGAACTTAATTTTGGGTACTTTTTTCTAACCGTGTATCCGTAACCGTGTAATGTATTTTTGCTCATTGTAATAACATTGTAATAACTTTTATGTCATAAAGATAACTAACGGCAGTCAAAAATCAACGCAATCATAAATTATGTTTCAAAGTAGAACCGTTAGATTTTATTAACACTAAATTTTCAGGCTTGTTACAAGAATCGAACGGGTACACTACTACTGTTCCACATTGCAGCAGATGCTAACATAACTAATTTAATTTATGTTCTTTTTCTATTTTATTATAAAATTAATCCTTAATCAAGATTAAAATTAATAATTTTAAAATAGGCTAATCTTACATCATAATCCTTTTCAATATTGCAGCGGGTATCTCGTTTTGGTAGCTTAACTGTCTAGTATCTCTAGTCTAGTCTAGAATTGAGGTCTGAATCTTGGGTTGAAGGGAGTTTTCCTAAAAGTGTCTGGCTGAGGAAATGTGGAAAAATGCTATATTAATATTTCAGAAAAGTTAATTTTTTTGTTGCCGGGGACAAGTATCGATGTATCTTTACTAGCGAGAGATTCGACTCTGAAATACAGTTATATAATGATTATAAAATGTTTTATATAACAGTGCAGGGGAAGTTGGATGGTTACATAAATCAACAGAGAATAATTACGTTTCAAACTATATAAGATTTTACTATTCAATATGTTTGTTGGTCATATATTTCATGACATATTATTTTATCTCATTTTCTTATTGATGGGATAGCAACATTGCCATATCATATTTTTTTTTCATTTTTTTTTTCAGCTCATGACTAAATTATTCTACATTATCTTATCAATTGGTTCCCATCGATTATAGTACAGTACCCGGTCGATTTTGGCAACAAACCCAATAAATTTGTGTGGCCAAAATCTAACCATGTCAGGATCGAACGGGTACTGTAGCTGTACACTTAATTGAAGCAATGAACATTCATTAAAAGGTAGCTCGCTACAAAAACTCTTCCTATAAAAAATCATGTAGAAATCATTTAATAAAATAATTCACCTGACGATTTGCAGTACGTTGATTATTTTATATTTTACTCAAAGCAAAACTATAAAATTTAACATATAAATTTCATTGTATTTCTTATTATGTTGCGCACTTCTCATAATATTTTATGGATCGTTTAATTTTAGCTTGATAATTATTTTATTATTCTTGTGAATTTAGATCGGAAGGGATAGTGGATAACTTACATACATAAATAATTATTTTTCAGGTTTTGTTTCTCGTCATGCATGACATCATTTAGATGAGATTCAATTTCAATTTTATTGTTAGTCCTGTTAGTTATTCATCACTCTTTTTCAATTACTCTAAAAAGAGAATATTAAGTATCCTTCGAGCTAAACATATTTACTTGCTATCATTACTATACCCTTAACATTTCAGTGTTACATCCACCTACCATTGTAAGCAGAGGAGACATAGAGGTGCATCTTATTATGTGTACAATATTTATTATTTTTATTGCATCCATTTAATTGTATTCCCTACATTTCATATTTTAATGTTCCGATATACTTCATTTCACCATTACATATATTTACATTATATAAATAAATACTGGGTTGGGTGGGAGCATCAGGGTATCATTTGACCTGAAACTGGACGATGGAGTGGTATGACAACCGGAGTCTAGGAGGGAATAAACACTATCATTTTCTTTATCCTACCGATTCGATTGTGGTGGTGTAAATTCTACTCCAACAGTTTCAGTGAGATTGACGCACCCTTCTTAACAAACCATCCTGTAGGAAGCTTAATAAGTATTGCGAATTGCGTTATTCGATTTGTTGGATCGTATCGTTGGAAGGAGATTCTCAAATTCCCGTCGATTTCGCGTAAGTGTCTCTGCTTACGGGTCCACCCCTCCGTTTTTGGCCCTTCAAACAGCGATATTGTGAATTCAGATCGGTAGCTCAAATTGATCTTGCTATTAAGTGGAGCTGCATACAAGACAAGATCTTTGAAGGGATGGTGGCTACCTTACATACATACATACATACAAGACAGGGTGTCCTCAACAAGTTAAGGGAACATGATGCACTAGATGTCCACAACAGGTACAGCAAAACATCACATAGACGCCCTTATTCACACTAACTACTCAGGGGGTAGAAGGTCAAGAAAAGCCACCGCCGCCAACTAAAGCTTGAACCGGGTACCTGGGACTCCCACGATATACCCGCGGCAATGGTCAGCAGACGATGCCCTGTGCGTATTTAGTATGTAATATGTTTTATTTGGATACACAAAATGTTTGAAGCCATGCGTCATCTAAACCATAATTTGCATCACCACAAATACACTTGTCAACAATTTTCAACTGGAACGTACT